ACGTGGCACGCTAACACACGACTGAATTAAGTTGGGGACTGAGTCTGTTGAGCCCAGATCTTGGCTCTGATCCATTCCTCTCTAGTACGGGAGGATGTGCAGAAGGCCTCAGGTTGTCTCTCCTACAATCAGGGCAGATCCCCAAGCTGCTGAGGCACACCAAGACTCAGGAGACACCCTGCTAGCTCTTTGTGTTCCCGGGTCCTCATGGCATTTCTAGAAACTGGAGGTGGGCAAGGAGGAGTGGGAACAGGAGACATGAAATGTTGGTTCTTAAATTAAGATCTCTTCTCCACCCTTCCTGCCCAAAGTGAAGCCCTTTATGAGTAAGAAGTGATGGAGGGATGCCAGCATAAAGCTGCAAACTCATCTCAGCCATTTCTCACTTAGTCCTCAAAACTCACGGTCTTCCAAGGGCAAGGACAGAGGCAGAGGGCAGAGTGAGAGCATGACCTTCAAGTCAGACCAAGTTTGGGGGAAATCGCTCTGCCCATCACTCCCAGCCTATGTCACCTTGGACAAGAGTGTTAAATGAGAAAAATGAGTGCAAAATGAGAAAAAAAATCATTCCTACCTCAAGGGTTTGCTCTGAGGACTGAATTCATATAAGCACAGGGTAGAACCTGAATACGTTATCATACGGTTATGAATACATTATTAAATGCACTAAAATGATAAATGCAATAAAGTAAATCTATACTGTACTGTAAACATGCAACTATAACCATCCTCTTATCAAAGAGAAGTCAAGTGAAAACTCATGACCATGGTGTCAGCCACGATGCAGCCTTCCTCCCTCAGCAAGGCTCAGAAAGTCTCTGCAGAACTGAGGTAGACTTGGGTTTCCTGCACATAATAGGTACTCAATAAATACCATTCAATTAATGGACAAACTGAGGCATGTTTTAGGTCATAGTCTTTGGAAGGGCAACCACAGTTGGTATAAAAATGAATTTCATCAAAAATTCAGGTGGTCCTTATCTATTTCTTTTTCTATTTTTTTCTCCTCTCCCCCCTTTTTTAATCCCAAACCTCACCCAGTAAAGACAGTTCCTTTCCATTTTCCAGAACAGGTGCACTGCCTGAATTGCTCCCATTTATTGGGATTGTTCCTCCTCTTTTATAAGCCATTCCCCATGGGACCATTTATTTCATCTCTGACAGCTCATGAGTACAATAATTATTTCACAATGTAGTAGCTTATGTATTAAATCAGACGTGGTAACCTTCGTGAAATATTATAATACTGAACTCTCTTGTATAACAGGCACATCAATTTTTATGTCACCCAGGAGATTAGTTACCAAAGAACACAAAAGCATTATACATATCAAGGTATTTTCTTCTGCAAGAAGTGAAGTTTTATTTTTAAAATTGTTGTTTTTATTTATTTATTTATTTATTTATTTATTTATTTTTAGAGATGTTTGTTACAGGGCATGTGCATTTGCTGGAAAGACAGAATGTGAGAAATCACCCTCGGGGGATGGCCATACCACAATCCCTTCTCATCCATTCTCCTCTTGGGATTTTGGGCATGCATGCCGACACACCTGGCATGTTTTAAACCGCCAAGTCCAGGAGTCAAACCATAGATGATTGGGTGGGAGTCCAGTAACATAAGCATTATGCCATCTGCTGGTCTCAAATTGTTGTTATTATTATAATAGCTTCATAGCCTAAAGATTATTGGTCTATGTTTTCAGTCTCAATTGCACTTTCCAACATACTTCGCAATTTACTTATTTATTAGGTTCATGGTTTCCTGTTCTCCCCACTGCACTGTAAAAAGGCAGGACTCTCTCTATTTTCTTTGTTTTGTTCACCAATTTTCTAGAACACTTCCTGGCACAAAAGAGGTGCTCAATAAATACTGTTCAATTAATAGACAAATCGAAGAATGTTTTAGGGCATTTTTAAAAAAAAACAGTCAAAATTGATGCAAGATAACTCTCATTAGATATTCAGATGAGCCTCATTTATGTTCTTGTCTAGTCTTTTTCTTCCCCTCTTTCTGTTCACACCAATAGATTTTCACTACATCAGAAGACACCTCCAAAAATCAAGGTTAAATCATCCACAGAAAGGCCATGGATTTAAAAGCATTCAAGTACTTCCGATACCAAGAAGTCGTAGGGTACATTTAATTTACAATGTGGAGTCTTGGCTCCACACTTTCACCTGAGCCTTGCAGGGCCCTCTGCAATCATGCAGGACTACATGAGAAATGTGGCAAGTGATTTGGTCCAAACTCCTCATTTTTCAGATGGGAAAACTGAGGGTCCGGGAAAGTGAAGTGACTGTTTACGTGCATGCAGTAATTAAAGCACCATCTGAAAAATAAGCCAAATACTTTCCCCTCCTTTCCCTATCTACCTTTGGGGGAGTTTTGGTATGTGTGTGTGTATGTCCATTAGTATGTATTTGAACTCTTGGCAACATCATTTTTTTCAAAGATTTTTGCTGTAGGGCACGTGCACTTGCCAGAGAAACAGGGAAAGACAGAAAGACAGAAAGTGAGAAATCACCCCCCAGGGGGGATGGTCACGCTGCAATCCCTTCTCCTCCATTCTCCTCTCAGAATTTTGGCCATGCACACACACACACACCTGGCATGAGTTTAAGCCACCAGGTCCAGGACTCAGACCATGGTCAACTGTCTGGGAGTACAACATTGTAACCATTACGCCATCTGCTGGTCCCAGCAACACAGTGTTTTAAAAAGAGCTCCAGTTTAGGAACCAGCAGTTAGCATAATGGCTATGTCACTGGACTCCCACGTAGTCAACCACGGTTCGCGTCCCGGACCCGGTGGCTTAAAATTCACACCGGGCGCGTGTGCGTGCGTGCCCAAGATCCCAAGAGGAGAATGGAGGAGAAGGGATTGTGGTGTGACCATCCCCCCTGGGGGGTGATTTCTCACTTTCTGTCTCTATGTCTCTCTCTCTGTCTGTCTGGCGAGCGCACGCGCCTCTCTCTCTGTCTGTCTGGCGAGCGCACGCGGCCGATAACGAAAACCCCTCTAAAAAAAAAAAAGAGCTCCAGTTAATAGCTAATTCATAATTATGATTCAGTTAATTTCACTAACTTCCCAGTCCTCCCCAACAACCTAGACCCAAAATGTCCCATTATGACTCAAAAGTGTTAAGGCTTTTTGAGCTGAAAGAACATTAGAGATCATCTAGCCCAACCATTATTTTACTGAGGAAAAATAACAGTCTGAGTAAAGAAAAAGCAAGCTTCCAAGCTACACAATCAGTTAGCTATGCTGAGGCAGATAGTACTTTTGTCATCCAGGCTCGCAGGTTACAACCAGGACACTTCTGACATCTGTGTGTCTCTAATGGTCTCATCATGGGGGTAGAAAACCCAATCTTAGCACGTGCATATGTCAGATCAAGAATGAAAACTTTTCAGGACCAGCAGTGGGCATAATGGCTATGTCACTGGACTCCCAAGTAGTCGACTGCAGTTCGCATCCCAGATCCAGTGGCTTAAACTCACACCGGGTGTGTGTGCGTGCATGCCCAAGATCTCAAGAGGAGACTGGAGGAGAAAGGATTGTAGTGTGGCCAACCTCCCTAGAGGGTGATTTCTCGCTTTCTGTCTCTCTGTCTCTCTCTGTCTTTCTGATGGGTGCACGCACCCTATACTGCAGGGTGCACGCACCTGATAACAAAAACCTTAAAAAAAAAAAAAAGAAAGAAAGAAAAGATCAAATTGTAGTACAATGTGATTATTTGATACAATTTCTGGTGCAAACACCATGACCTCTAGAACACTATAGTATGTGCACATCCATGTTTGTTGTGGAATAAACATGAAAGATAGGGAAGCCTGTTGCTGCTGGGCATCTCAGGGGAAAAGCGAGGATGGATGAAAGGGGAAGAGATGGGGGCTGACAGGTGACATGGTAGTTGAGGTGCTGGACTCCCACATGGCTGACCACAGTTTGAATACAGGACTTAGCAGTTTGCTTTCTCACTTTCTCTCTCTGTCTCTCTCTGGTCAAGTTAAAAAATATATGTAACAATAATAAACCAAAGTAAGTAACTCTTTAAAAAGAAAGGGGAAGAGATGATTCATAATTTTTTATACATCGTCAAATGTTTTCACTGATTACAGCAGACATATTGGGAAAAAAAACGAAGTTAAATCAAAAAAAAAAAATCCTAAAAGATCAAAGGAATCCACAGATAGTCCTCCAAGTCCTGTTTTGGTCTCTTTTCTTTCCCCAGTAGACTGTGTCAGCAAGAGCACTCTGACTTCAGGGAAAAAATTAAGCAACACAGCAAAAAAGAGCCTTGCAACTGCCTCTGTAAGTGCTTAGCTTCCATGACATCCTCTTATCAAGTTACCTTTCCCACCAACTTGTCTGAGTCCTGGTACAGGAAGTGAGTTGTGGAGCAGACACAGGAAGTAGACTGGCAAGTAAAACACCAACAAAATTGTCCCTTAACACAGGAAAAAACCTGAGACTCCTGAAACGTGAGTAATTTCAGAAGCTGTCCTTTGCCCTGATCCACAGAGGTGCTTTTGTAACTATAAATAGACCATGCAAGACCCACTCTTTATAAAAGCAGACAGACACTAACTTTGGCAGGCAGGCCTTCTGGGGCACCTGAAACAGTCACTTGGAAAGTTGGCCTTGTCCCCATGGGTTTCTTTATCCAGTCTTTACTCCATGTTCCTGAATACAAAGTGACAGAACCAAGCATGTAGAGGTCCTATCTGTAACAGTGATGACCACTGAGCTATAACAATGACAAAACTGTATTACTTGAAGCACTAATATGCAAATCTTCTGAGTTAGTGATTAAAAAATAAAGAAAGAAAGAAAGAAAAACAAACTTGCCACCATCAACTTCTAAAACTCTAAGAGAGTATTTCACATTAATACACAAAACTGTGTGGAGACAGCCCAGCTCCTGTTAACCCTAGATTTTATATTCAGCCACAGCTTAGGAATCAGTAGGAAAAGGGAAGAGAGATTGACTTACCAAGCCAACTTCTGTTTAAGTACACAGACACAAACACTGGGGGAACCGTGAAGAAATCTACTACAGAGTTCACTTCCAGCCAGAACCACAGCTTATCGTTGGCTGCAATAAACTGCGGGGAAAAAAGAAATAAGAGAGAAAAAAAATGGGAAGCATGGTGTCAACATTTAGTCCATACTCTTTTGCCAAAGGGTAAATTCTAGGTTTTCATCAAGGTCTGGAGGAAGACATTTTGTTGTTCTCTCATCTATATAAATCACACGTTTATTTTGTTAGCAACACAACCTTTTCTAACGAGTGACTATATGCTACAGTATCCCCGGAGAGAGATGAAGCAGTATATTTTTCTGTGGTTTCCAACAGTCATAACAAAAGAGTGATCCCACCTTCATTCGACTCTCTAATGTGAATATCACTGTATGCCACAGCATCTTTCATAAACAGGGTCTAATATAAGCCCTCTCAACCTCAAATCCTGCCACTCTGCTTTCCTGATTCATTCTCGCAAGTGCTCTGTTGGGGCTCAGCTAACTGAGTACTGCTACACATAGTTTTAAGTGCGGAGTTGTTTTATTTTTTCCCTATTTAATTTTTAAAGGAACAATGCATGCATGTTTGAATAAAGTCATGAGAAATAGTCGGTCAGTGGAGGTATCATCATTATTTCAACCCCCGTTTCCTCTCCTGGAAATGAAACTAACAAGTATTTCAGAAAATTCTTAGTCAGGGCAGGGCTCTCTCAGAGACTGAAAATCAGAATGCAGGTATGTCGTCTCTCCTGAGAATACTGGGCTTCATCTTGCCGGCGACAGCAGATGCTGAATGGGGAAGATCCCCAGGTATGAAATGGGCATGCCCCATTGTGATACTGCACTGAGCCATGCTGCTCAAACTTACCCGCAAGCCAAAGTAGAGAAGGAAGAACACGTTGAAAGCCATGTCGATCTGTAATGTGAAATCTTTGTAGAAATTCTGGCAGGATTCTATTGGGCTATTAGACAGGAAGAAGAAAAAGCAAGAGGTAAATGAAAAGCATCATCAACTCTTCCACAACGCTGAGAGGTAGTGGTACTCAGGGTAGAAGATGAAATGAATGTTCATAAAATAAAACATTGGGTATTTCTACCCCCTCTTATCATCAAGCAAGCATTGCCAAGGGCTCTTTCCATTCAACCATTCAGTGTTTTGTTCTTTTATTTGTTTATCTTTGTAATTATATGTACACATTATTTTATTGTCATTCAACAACGGAACTAAGAATCTAAAGAGGATCATGCAGACACCTTGGAGGAAAGACAAGCAGGAGAGACCACCAAAAATCCTTTTTCATATTAACCCTTAAAGAACTGACTTCTTTCTTTTAGTAGATACATACCAAAGGTTAAAAAAATGTCCCTCACACCCTCCAGCACATTGGAAGTGGAACCCATTTTCAATTAAATAAAGTAGCCATGTTTGGGACCTTTTAAAAGCCATTAGTTGATTAATAAATAAAGGACCCAGGAGTATCTCACGAAAGCTGTGGAAGAGAGGATCCTGGCTGATGTTCTGGCTACACTAAGTATGGACTTTCTGTGCAGTAGTCTGATCTGGGGATAGAGGATTGCCCAACCAGCAAATTCGAGACCATTAAACCAAAATGTTGAAGCAGTACTCTAAGGGTTAATTTTTTTTTTCATGCAGGTTAATTGGCTTTGTGTATGTGTTCAGCAGCCAGTGCGAGCCCCCAGCACACTCTACTTTGTTTAAGAGTAGGCAATTCAAAAGGGTACTACTATACAAACTGGTACAAGGCTCCTGTGTGCTTCCCCATGTCAAACTGATCACAGGATCAGTATGAAAGTCCAGCGGTTTGGGCTGAGTGGGAAGCACGAAAGCCTCCTAAGCATCTCAAAGCTGTGAATGAAAATTCATAGTCTACTGTTATCATCAACAAATGGTAACATTCAGGCCAGGAACATAAAAAAAGGTGAGAGAAGATGGGGAGAAGCAAAATACTTTCCCAGGATGGGAAGGAAGTGGACCTCCTCCCTCCAGGGGAGTAGTGCTTAAGAAGTGCAAGATGAAGGATTTCCGAGTATCACTGCTTTGGAAATCACTGAATGCAATACCAGTTAGTATAGTGGTACTTCTGTACAGACAATGCTTGGCTATTCAACAAGCGGGGATCTGTGCAGAATGAGAATGCCGGGCCCACCCAGAGCACAGTAAATCAGTCTGGGAATCTCCCATCATGTTACATGCACTGGATTCTTCATCTCTACTACAAGTCACACATGCCCTTTGTCATCTCCCATATCACAAATATGTAGAAAAACCTCCAGACAAGCATTACCAGTAACCTACATTTGCATTTATATACTAAGCACACTGAACAAAAACAACACTGAAAAACATTCCATTTACAAAAGAAATGACAACTACGACGTTTCCACTAAGGTAAGGAAATGGGAAGAAAGACAGTCCAGAATTTGGTCAGTCTAATGCTGAAAGGAGGCAGGAGCAAAAGAAGGTAACATCATAACCTACCCAGGATAAATGGGCTCTACCCATTCTCTCTACTCATTCTCCTACACATGTATACTAACTTACATGGAAAACAAAAACAAACAGGCCTACAGGTGGAAAATGACACTTCTGCAATTCTCAGGCCATGGTGGTGTTTTGTTTTGTTTTAAGAACAAGATCCACAAGGTTTACAGGTATCAGAATTCCTAGCCATACTAGTTGCAGCAAAAAGAAGTACATGAACTAGGTTGACCAGAAATCTACCATAGAGTCCTGGGTTGAGGAGACAATGTATCTTTGTGCTATGGAAGACATCAGTAAATTAAGTTATTAAAAGAATGAAGGAGGGGGCAGGAAATGGTGTACTGGTTAAGGTGTTGGACTCCCACACAGCTGACTGGTTTGAGTTCTGAACTCAGCGGCTTGAAACTCACACTGGATGCATGTGCATTTGCCCAAAATCCTAAGAGGAGAATAGAGGAGAAGGGGTCATGGTATGGCCATCCCCACAGAGGGTGACTGTTCACTTTCCATTTTTCTGTCACTTTCCATTTCTCTGTCAGTCACTTTCTGTCTTTCTAGTGAATGCACACACTCAATGGCAAAACTCTATCTCAAATAAATAAATAGATAGATAAATAAATGGGGTGTGTTTGTATGTGTGTGTGTGTGTGTGTGTGTGTGTGTGAGTGAGTGTGAGAACAAGTAAGCAAGGATGGAGAGGTCTGTAGGCAAATATTATATTGACATGCTGGGACCAGTAGTTGGCATAATGGCTATGTCGCTGGACTCCCATGTAGTTGGCCGTGGTTTGAGTCCTGAATCCAGTGGCTTAAATCCATGTTGGGCGCGTGTGTGTGTGCCCAAGATCCCAAGAGGAAAATGGAGGAGAAGGGATTGTGATGTGGCCATCCCCCCTGGGGGGGGGGGATTTCTCACTTTCTGTTTCTCTGTCTCTCTCTGTCTTTTGGCCTGCGCACATGCCCTATAGCAAAAACCTCTCCAAAAAAAATATTATATTGACATGCTCACATGTTCACTTGTGTCAACAGGGACTTAGCTATGTGTTAAAATTTGTATTCATCAAAATTGATGTATATGCAGTCAAGAAGAGAGAGAGAAGGCCTTTGTTTCCAAGTTTCAAGAAAAACTTACCACTTCACCAAGGCTAAACAATTACTGTTGCCCTCACAATTGTTGGTAGAGTTACTGGCACACTTAGCGTAAGAGTTCCCTAACTCCTACTAATTCTATGGCTTCTGTGGTTAGTTTGGTGGTAACCTTGAAATATGCTTGATTGGAAAAGTACTTGCTAGGCTGTGGTAGAGATAGGTTGGGCGAAATGTTAGCTCAATGCCATTGAGGATATTTTGGTTCAATATATGGTTGTCGGAAACATGATGACATACTTTTTCTATGCTTTTCTATGCAAAAATGAGTCATGACTTTTCTGACAACCCAGTAAATGAAAACAGATATTCAAAAGAGCACAAAGAAATCAGGCTATCGCAACTTTTCCTTCCTGGTCATTTCTCTTGTTGTCTTCTACAGTGTTGACTCCCATGGGCAACAATGAGAGGTTTTCAAGCTCAAAGATACTGTGTTGAAAAACATATCTCAATAACACTTTTGATTTACAGAAAACCATACTGAAACCATAGCAGACCATTTCTCCAGTCTTTCTTTCAAAAATTTGGAAGCGAGTTCATTATTGTTGCATTCGCATTCCTTGAGTCCTAGACTTTGAGCTGAGATAATACTGGAAGTAAATCATGTTGTTGCTGGTGCAGGTGTTTTTTTCTTCCAGCTGACCTCACAGGTAACGTGAGTACACCCAGACAATACAAAGGAGAGGGGAGGGGAGGAGGAGGAGAAGGAAACTCTGAGACAAAAGAGGGCCAGGTCCTGGGACCAGGCAGGACCAGAGTGACCAGGAAATGCATTTTATTTTCCTTATAGTTATTTCCTGCTTGCCATGAAAGCCCAGGATAAATGTTCTGCCTGGTTTTTTCAAGTGGCAGCAGAACTGTGTATCAGGAACCCCTTGGAGATAAATCCTCCAGTGCCTATAGTTCATGCAATCAGAAACCACAGGGTAGAGAGTCTAAAGCCCCATTATTTCATTCTCCATATGGAAGCAACCCATGGAGAAGTTCATTGATCTTTCCAAATGAGAATATATAATTCAATGACAAAAGGGTTGGCCATATCAACCAGGATTTATTTTCTTCCCAAAGAGACTTCATTTTAATGATTAATGCTCATTTCAGGATGGAGAATGAAACACAAACTCCTCTTCCTTCTTGTGTAAAGTAGGAGTTTCCTTGTTTAGATATCAGAAGTTTCAATAGCTAGCCAAAAACATAAAGTGCTTAAAAAGAAAAGAAAAGAAAACTACAAAGGAAAGTAATTCTGGATCACACACTGCAATTTAGATGACTGTTGTAATGAGGCATGCCCACATTGAAAAGGCTTTACATGGGCATAAGTTGTCAGTAGGAGAAAAAATGTAGAGTTTTAAAAACTGAAGGGACACTATTTCTGACTCGAATAGTAGAAAACCAACTTACCCTAAATTGTCTGTGTTTACTTAACGATGTAATAATGAAAAAGCACAAGGTAGCTGGTAAGCTAACAGTTCATTCCTAGGCTCCCACAGTCCATGGATTGAGTGTGCTACTAAAACTTTGGGCAATGTCAGTATTTTGACCAAGACTCTATGGTTGGTACACCTTTAAAAAAAAAAAAAAACCCTCAGTAAAGTATAAATGTTACAGTACAGTATAAATGTTTGGTGTAGGATGGAGGCCGAAGTATGAATTCCTATTTACTCTTGATCAGCAAGTATATCCTCAGTATTTATGTCTCCAAAGAGGAAAATGATATTTACCCAAGGTGGGAAATACACTTTTTATTTAGCATATAACAATATAATTTCCAAAAAAGGCCCATGAGCAGGCAGGTCAAACAGACTTTCCTGAAGACTGACTTAGGAACTGGTCTTTTCAAAGCATGAGGCAAGTGACAGCTGTCCAGGTTTTCTTTAAAAGGGAAGGAGGTTAGGGACCAGCAGTTAGTGTAATGGCTATGTCGCTGGACTCCAACGTAGTCGACTATGGTTCAAGTCCCGGACCTGGTGGCTTAAAACTGACGCCAGGCACGTGTGCGTGCGTGCCCAAGATTCTGAGAGGAGAATGGAGGAGAAGGGATTGCGGTGTGGCCATCCCTCCAGGGGGGTGATTTCTCACTTTCTGTCTCTCTGTCTCTCTCTGTCTATCTGGCAAGTGCACGCGCCCTATAGCAAAAACCTCTCCAAAAAAAAGGAAGGAGGTTAAAGACAAAATCTCACTGTTAGCAGTGGTCCCCCATCTCCTAGAGGGAAGTATTAGCCCTTCTTCTCAGCCTCTAAACCTCCCCGTGTCTTCTGAAGACTGTTTCCTTATCTTCCTGAGTTTGTCTGCTCAAACGTGTGAAGCTATGTCT